CATATTCTCTGCCAGCCATTTACCGCGGTAATATTGGGTGTAACGAGAGAACGTTTATTTGGTTTCCTTTCTTCCTCATTCCTCCTGGAGGAACCTTTGGCTCTCAAAGTCTTCCTTCGTTTCCTCGGTTGAAATATTTACGTTTAACGCTCTGCGTTCTCGAGCTGAAATGCAAAATTCGCCGTGAAATATGTAACTCGCGCGTGCAGCGTGTCTCATACGGAATAAGAATTTTGTCGCCATCGCTGGAATTTGTAGCGGGTACCTTGGAGGGCACTGCACACACCGCCTCGCCTCGTGGCTGCATTCTCGAGCGTTAAAATTGATACACGGGGTAACGCAAGTACGTGTAATAAAATGTTGAAGAGAATAGTCAGAGCCCCGGAGTAAGTGGGACAAGTCTCGCCGGTTCTTTTTGCCGGAGAATGGGAGGAACATGAAAAGAGAGTGATTTAAGGATTTTCAGCTCACTGTATCTTTCCTTTTGCAATCGCGTGCATTCCCCTGGTGCAATTACATTTTACTTTCTAAATAGAATCATACATTTGAGGGGAGGGGAGGGGATTACGAATCTATTCTCCTCGCCGTTTGCGAAACGTTCTCGCTTTTTACGTTATTTCTCTTGCTTGTTTTCAAATATTCAATTACAGCGGTGCAGCAATAAGATTCACTTCGAAACGTTTCTGTTTGTTAAATGTTTTTACGCCCGGATTGGCGCTCTCGAATAAAGCGTCGTGCATATTTTATGGGGAACCGCGGCGTCGGACGAACAGAGATGAGTTTCGTCTGATTCCGGATGCAACGAGCTGCATTCGATATTTCTTACGCGTGTTGGGAGAGTACCCTTTGAAATGGATACCATCTCGAGACCTCAACAGTACCGTGAAAGCCTCTAAAACCACAAATGACACTTGCGTTCGGTCACCCTCGGTATGAAACTTATGGAGGGTTGGGGCAAGGACCCCCGTTGAGCACTCCTGAGGGTCAAGTATCAAAACTCACTCTACCCATCGCGTAACAAGCTGCGCTAAGCTCCAACGCACGAAGGCTTTGGTCTTTCTCCTCGATACTCTCGTATGTTTGGAAACGGTTTGCAACGCCACAGATCGGACATTCTGGTGAACAACCCTTGGTTACTCGAGAGGAAGGACGAGGAAGTGATAGTAAAGAATTTTAACACGTAAAATTTGTTATCAAAGAAGAGGTTGTAAAATTTGTTATCAAAATAACGTTAAAAAGCTTGGTTCACAATCGTTTGGCAAGAAATTTTATCATAAAACTTGCAACATTAAACCGCATTTATATTTGCTATATTTCAACAAAGTTCATCGAAGTATATCTTTATTATTATTCAATATTATTTATTAGTGTTTAGTATTATATTTATTATATTATAAATTATTCTTATTTAATATTATTTAGTATTATTGTAACATAAACACAAACATTAAAAATATTTAGAATAAAATGTTTTATTTTAAATTTTGACGTGATCAAAATATATTGTGTAGGAGCATGCGACTCGCGTGATAAAGTAAATGTTCAACCGCGTGTTTGCTAAAATAATATCTTAAAATTAAATTTATTGTCTTATTCTTTAATACATCTTAAACTACTTTTCTTGATAATTATAAAAATTGTAGGACATGCTTCAGAATCGAACAACTATCCATCACAATAGCGTAGGGTAACCAAAAAATCGATCCAACGTGTTAAATATAATGTTTTCTAATTGTTACGTCGCCAACATCAGCAAGCAGATTTATCGATTCTACGCCGCGATTTTCTTCGTCGATAGAGAATAGAAAATTCATTGTTTCATGGCCTCGATAACGAAGCAACGACGACGCGTCGAATATTTCGCGGTGTTTACTCATTCTGATTAATTCTTCGTCGTCGTGTCGAGTCGCGAGGAAGTTGTCATTCTCTCAGCAACGACCGGGAAGGAACAGGCAGGAGAGAGCCTCGATTTAGAACGGTGTCGTTAAGTCTGATTTACACGATGAGCGGAACGTCTTGAAGCTCGAGGACAAAAAGCACCGCGATGGTAAAAGTATCGAGCGCGACGATGAGCAACTAACCGTGGCGAGAAGATTTCGAGTTTTTCCCGGTGGGCAGGCGAACGAAATCAGACGAGAGAGAGAGAGAGAGAGAGAGAGAGAGAGAGAGAGAGTGAGAGAAGGAGAGAGCAAAACGAGGCAAAACCTTAAAACCAGGTCGAGCAATCACGCCGCTACCGTGAAACTGTGGCTCGTGGTTGGCGCGTGGTCCGAGACTTTTTCGCGAAAGAACGCGATGACTGGGTTTTTTTCGCGATTCCGTCAGTGGCCTGGGTCACGTTAACGAACCTCTAATTACCAGTGACGCGATCGTGCCGCGAGATCGTCCAGGATCCGTCCGAGCATCATTTTCATGGTAATTAGCCGGCGGTGGCCGTGGCCTCGTTTCTTTCAGCCAGCATTCTTTCTGTCTCTCTCTCTCTTTCTCGATCGCTTTTCTGCGCGTAAAACGGGAGGAACGCGCGGAGAAAGAGAGAAAGACACTGGGAGGGGGGGAGGTAGAGAAGACAGAACGTTATTCAACGTTCGTTGCGGCCCACGGACGTCTTTGTTCGCCGGCAACTTCCGGTTTGCAAAGTTTAGCTACGTGCACGCCATAAAACTGTCGAGCAAACAAAAAGCGTCGTTGCGAGATCGTTCCCTCTTTCGTCATCCCTTCTCGCCGGCCCCACCCCCTCTTTGTCTTTCTGTCTGTTGCGCTTCCTCCGGTGGTAAATCCGCCGGAGCGAAGCGCGTGATAAACGCGCCACTTGGCGATCCGATAATTACCGCGCTGCGTGTGTGTAACAGACCGCCATAATTAAGCCGGCGAGTGCGCGATTCGAGTGGCTCGCGCGCTTCCTTTCTTCCTCCGGTTGTTGTTGCACAGTTCTGTCGACTGCGGATTGGCTAACGACGAAGAATCGGCAAAGAGAGAGACTATCGGAAACGGACTCGTTGCTTGTTAGATGACGTACACTCCTGTCCATAAGTTATCGGACACTTGCTCATTCTAAATAAAACGATCATCACGATTGTCAACCCTTTCGCTACCACGATGTCTCGCCTAAAATTATATCGGATATGTGATACCACTGACGAGCCATCTCGCGTCGTAGTGTAGCGTTCCTGTCTCTTAAAAGAAGAGATATCTTGCAACACAAAATGAAACGAAGGATCGTTCTATTTAATAGACAAATAATCATTTAAATTTGGAGAAATATCATTTGCTTAGAAATTTTAATCAAATTTTATTTCGAGATTTCTGGGATAAGATTGAATTTCTATTTAAAATTTTTAATTTTAATCGAAAGGAAGGTTTGTGCTCTCAAATTCAATATAAAGGCACCGAACTAATTTCTACAGCTATTTACACAAGGCGTAATGAATAATGATCCAAAAGTAGGATTCGAAAATCTGTAACAAATTGCTTGAAATTTGAAAGATTCAGAGAACAATCTATCGCAGTCACGAATTGTCAGGTCATTGCCAAAGTAAATCGTAATCACACCTTAATTTCATCAAGTGTCCCGTGATTTATGAACGGGAGTGTATATAGTTGTCTTTGGGAATCCACGGTGAGAATGATTGTTGGTGGACCATCTCGTATTCGTAGGAATACGCTCGCGGTTCAGACTATCTTTGCTACTTCTTGACTCACTAGCGTTGTATATTGCTCTACCCTCGCAGGCGTTCGAGTCGGCCCTTGTATGCTATTAGAGAAGATTAGTCCCATAAAGTAATTGCGAGAATTATTTTATGAGCCTAACGCTATTGCTCAGAGATGCCTGCCTCACGTTACGTTCATTGGGCACGGGCTGCAGAATCAAGGCCAAAAGTACACGTCTCTTACATCGTCATATAAAATAAAGTAGATCGCGAAGTATTCGAAACTCATCGGTAGCGAGATCTTAAGCGTTTTGTTTTATTTTGAGAACGTTTAAGCACTGGCGTGCTTAATTATTTTTAAGCAATGACGAAAATACAGTAAATGCACTTGCTGATTGAATTAAATTATAACAAAATGATAAACTGTTTTTGGTATTTAATTTTATTGGTATTTATGGTATATACGGAACTTAACATTTTATTGTTTGAAAATTATCCCATGAAAAGGGAAATCCATTGTGGAGAAAAGAATTTTCATCAATTCGTACAAAGAAGCAAAAAATCGAATATTTGCAAAATTAAAATGGATAGAGATAAGTTTAATTGTATCGACATAAACGCTTAAAGAGTTAAAGAAGTGTGGTTGACCAACTATTTTCCTTATGAATAATTGTTCGCACTAATTGTTCGGAGGTTTATTACTGACTCAGTATTAGCACCCAGCTAATATTATCAGGCCTAGTTGGTCTAATCCAACAAAAGTATTCATAGAATCAATTAATAAGCATTTAGAATTTTCTTTAACCTTAACTTACGCTGGCAATTGATTGCGGACCATAACGAGTGACCGAACCGTATGCAATAAATCGTCGCTTTCTTTTTGAAACTCGTCGATATGATTTCACTGGATAGAAATTATTGAGAAGTAATAAATTTATTATTCGTTTCACCTATTTTGTTTCACTTAAGTATACTTAAAACTGAGAAAATGTTGGGATAAAAAAATTCTCGAAAAAATTTTGCGTGGCACGTTCCACGCAAGGGGTTAATAAGATTATCGTACCTTGACAAAGATTTATTTTATTTTATTATATTCTGCGTGCGTGCAAAATATAAAATATTGCCTGGACCGACAGACCAGCTTCTTAAAAATCGAAAAATCGATTTATGACGTACCCCAGCAAACTATCACTGGATCAATTGATATTGATTTACGGTTGGCCAAACCACTAAACCGCGAGATTAGGGTCGTGACCAAGCAATAATATTAAAATCGTCAATATTATGTTCGTCACATTCGTCAAAACTCGTAATTTTTCCCAGGTTTGCCGATTTCAAGAGTAGCAATGTTCTTTGTTTCAGATTTCCACTCGGCGGGGAACGGGGAGAGCGCGAGATTCTCGAGGTAAAATCGAGGAAACATTAACGAGTCTGCGTGCTTACGTAACTTAGTAACAGCGTTTTCGAGGAAATGTGCCGCGACTCGATTTAGATGTACGATTATTCTTCCGATCATTCTCTGATAGAGAGCGATCGTTACGCGCTTCTTCTCCTCGCTTGTGACGCGCGCCGTTCTGAGCGTCTCCACGCTCAGATTTTCCAGCTTCGAAGCGACTTTATCCGTAATTAGAGAAAAGAGCCGCGGTCGTTCTACCTCTCAGTGTGTGCGCGTATGCGTATGCGTGTATGTGTGTGTGTGTGTGGACCAGCGAAGAAATTAATTTTTCGTCGGTCCATCCAGCGAGTAATGCTAATTATTCACAGTCGAAGGTACAAGAAATTAAACGGCTGCGAGCCCGTTGAAGTAACTCCGCGGTTTTTAAAATAGAAAAAGGAAAAAAAAAAAAAAGAAACGAAACGAAGAAAAAGAGCGGAAAAGCGGTAAAATGTAGTAGACGAAAAAGGAGGCCAAAGAGAAGAGAGAGAGGGAGAATAAGGGAAACGAGAATGAAAATCTCCGATCCGAAAGAGCTTTTTATTTAGCTCGTTAATTGTAGTTGAAGCGAATTTTCCGCGGATTCTGCCCGCGCTCACGGCGGTGCAGAAATTTATTAATTTTTAATAGAGCCTAGCTGGCAAATCAGAAAAACCAACCCCTCTTCCCTGTTCCTTTGAAGGTTTTTTCATCCATTTCATAGCTCGAATCTTGCTCTCGTTGCGTTCGGGACAAAGCCACGAAGTTTCGCCAGGCCGCTGCGAGTAGAATTTAAAAAAATCGTCGACTCGACTCGACCCGACGAACGAGGGTTCGACGCCGTGAAACCGTGACCGTGTTTTCACGGGAAGCATCTCGCGGAACCGATTCGTCGGTGGCGAGGGCCTCGAATTCTAAAATGCGCCCTCTCGCCTAATTGTTCGCCGTTCTCGTCTAATTGTTTGGTAAAAATGTCAGCGTCGCGCTGCGCTCGCGCGGCCATTCGACCGGACCCGGCAACGAACCCATTCAGATTGCTCGGTCATCGCTGCAAATACTTTTGTTGCCTTCCGCCGCGATACGCCGACAGACGCGTCCCCTACCTTCCTCTCTCACTCGACGGAAATTTACCGATCGAACGGTGCCCATTGTTCCGTTCCCTGCAATTCCGTTTTTCCCTATCGTATTTCTTTTTTCCTTTTATTTTATTTTATTTTTTTTATTTTTTTTTTTTTTCATTATCACAGGATGCTTGAAAATGTTGGCACGGTCGGTACTCGTGGTACTCGTAGTCGGGACGAGCGAAAAAAAAAAAAAAGTTCTCGATGAATGTAGATCAGAAAAGGAAGCTAATTAATAATGACGAGACTTGACGATTCTGTCACTAATGAGATGTCATCCTTTGACTGCGTGTCCTCGTCACTTTTGCACGTTTTCTCACAAATACACGCACGCGCTATATTTGACTATTTAAATTCTTTCGATTGGTTCCGGATATCAATCGAATCTATTATGCCATTACCTGCAGGTTTAGAAAAATCTAGCAACTCTGAAACTAATAATATTTTGACTCGTGTTGATATTGTTAAGATTTTTTGCCTGTTCCGTGAAATTTGGCACCTACATTTTTCAAATGCCCATTTTCCACAATTCTAATCATTGGAATTATCTTTGTTCGAAAGACAGATAATAAAATTCTTGTTCAGAAGAATTTATTATTCTGCATCGAAATATATTTGAATAACAGCAACTGCTCGCCCGTTTTTTCATGCTGGCAAATAGCTTCGCTATACTTCACCACGCGATTGCTATTCGCCTCAAATATAAGCGCGCGAATCAGATTCGTGTTGCTTGATCCAGACCCAAGCCGAAACAAATCCCATATGTTAAATATTTAAGTTTAAGTACTGAATTTGTATAAAAGTTGAATTATACAGAAATGAAGAAACATTCAAAAAATATGGATGACTTGCGAGTTTATATGCGTATCTAGACAAATTTGCGCTATCTTGAATTGAACGCTATATCTGCAAAATATCTTTTATCGACTTGGATTATTAACATGTTCAATTTACATTTTTTTTTTTTTTTTCAAAGACTCTAGATTTTCGACATCGAGACGATTATTTTCTATTTTTCCAATTCGACAGAGGGACGATATTTCTCCCACGATGAGAAATTATTGAAACAAACAATCTTTCCTAGTTTTTTTACAAAAATTCGAGGCAAGACCGGCTACAGGCATTAATCGTTAATTCTTTCGCTCGTAACGTCATGGCTACAGCCATTTCCATTTGTTGCACACTTTCAGTTGCGCAGCGAGCCGTGTTAAAAAACGAAACGTCGATTCGCAGATTTGCGACGCAAGTGCCGTGAAAACACTCTTTCTCGCTTAAGAAAATCGCTCGCTTGCTTTTGTCTCTTGCCCGCTACCGGCAAAAAGTCCGCGAGAATATTGTTCATCTCGGTGCGGCTAATTGCTTCGTTTGTAACTCGCGTCGCGACAGCGCGGAGCGAAATTTTCGAATAAAACCGTCCGTCTGTCTAGCTGCCTGGCTGGAGAAATAAGACACTCGAGCTTCAATCCGTTCCGGCTTACAAGAACTGCGATGTTTCCGCTCCCTTTATTAAATCGCCTTTCCCCGCTGGAAAAACTCGCCGAGGAACCCGGCGAACCAGGCTATCGCGCGTCCTGTTTCGTGAATTTGCTCCGTGAAACTGACAAAGAGAGAGAGAGAGAGAGAGAGAGACCAGAGCGGAGGCTGAGCGTGAAACACATTCGCGCACAGAAACACGGAAACACAGAGAAAAAGAGAGAGAGAGAGAGTGGCTCGTTCCGTTTTCTGAGCTCCTCTCGCGTTTTCCGGCCGGAAGGATCCGCCGAATCGTCGTTTCGCAGAGCGTTATCATACAACACCGGGGGCCGAGCCTTGAAGTTTTAATGAATCGAAAGAAAAAGTTCCACGCTCGGGCACAAGCGGCCGGGGCAAGGTTAATTTCATCCCCGTTGAAAGTTGGGGTGTAGAAGGGGTGGCGGAAGGGAGGAAAAAGTGATGTAACGTCTTGAAGCGTTTAATCGCGCGGCCGCTATTTGCCTCGGCCGCGTTTCTTCCTTTTATTTTGGATTACTTTGAGACTTGAGTAATCCCCTTGAAGCGGCCTCTCCCTCGTTGCCGGCTTCCGGCAACAAAAATAGCCCATTTATTTTCCGAATTTAGCGAACCAGCTTCCCTCGCCAGATTCTCTACGTGTATATGTACGGATACGTGAGCGGGATATTGAATGATAGAAGACGGCTCTCCCAGAATTACGATAGACGAAGATACCGCGGTGCTTTATGGAAATTGAAAAATTTTCTTACGGGATAATGTCGGGATATCGAGAGTGCGGGAAAAGTGTGAAAGTGGGAGGGAGAGAGATCTTCAAGACAGAGTTTTAGCAACAGGCTTTCTCCCGTTCGTTCATCGATAATTTTCCTTCAGCGTTAACTTTGTAACGTACGACTCGGGATAATCACATTGGCTAACACGTTCGTCGAACGCTTATAACTCCGGCTGGAAAAACTTGGACAACGACTCTCTTCCCCCTTCCGCGAGGCAGTGAATTAGCATCGGGAAGCTTTCACGACGCGTAAAGATAAAGTACGATACATCTGGTTTCCCGATTTTCCATCGTCCTGAACTTTGAACTTTCTACACCTGGCTCGAGTAACCGTACACTGCTCAAAGATTAGGGGATATTTCAAAATAAAAATGAAGCGATAAAAAAAAGAAGCGTTTGATTTTTTTTTTATTAAAGCAAGATGTTCTTTTTTTTATCGCTTCATATTCATTTTGAAATATCCCCTAACTTTTGTGAACAGTATATTCCCTTTCCATTTCGTCTGCGAGCAAGCAAGACCGCGTAATCAACGAGAACGAGTGCAAGATGATCGCGCAGCAGGCGGAGAAAAAACGGTCGAAACTTCGTCGCGGATTAAGAAACTTTGTCTCCCCGTTTGTCCAGAAGCTGCCGATAGAGATAGAACCGTGGAACTTCTCTCGGAGTCGCCAAGTTCTCGTCCAAGGCGACAGACGGTCGCGATCGAGCGGCTCGAACGACTCGCGCCGTTTATGGAAATAAATTTAGATAGAACGAAACGGGAACGCGCGCGCTGCGTATTTGGCATTCGGTTGTGCGCGCCAGTTGGAGCGGAAGTTGCGCGGGAGTTGCACCAACGCCGCGCGAATTCCTCTCGAATTGGCGAACACGCGGCGACGAAGCCGCGGTGTGGCGTGCACGCGTTCGTGATTTATGGAACGCGCTGTAATTGACTTTCATTACGATGCAAATTGTACTGGTCACGACATACCAACGCAAAATACCTGTCTAATTCTTACGAGGAATCTCGTTCTTGTATATATATGTATATATATGTTTCTTCCTCTGCTTTTTTTTCTTCTTCTTCTTGCTCTTGTTTGTTGCTCGAGAGCCGCTGTCGAGTACGTATAAAATAATTACACGCAAAGTGATTCGAGCAACCGGACCGCGCGTGTAAGTGCCTCGGGGGACTTTGATTGATTCGCGTGTATACCTTGCGCGTGAGAGAGCGTCTCGTCTCGTTGCGAAGCTCCGACAGGTCTTCAAGTTCATCGACTTGAATAGAAGTGTGCGAAGAAATTCGAAATACGTCCGTCTGGAAGTCAAAAATTATTCGTCCACTGATTTTTACCAATCGTCGAGATGAATATTCTCGATGGGAAAGAATTTACGGTATTTCCAACGTTTACTTTTGCGATCGATGGCAAATCCTTGCGGTTTTTTCTAAGTAAACAACACGAAGCTTTTTCATATTTTGTTCAACAGTGCACGGACCATTTTGATCCGCTACTTTTTATCATCTTTCTGGCAGCTCTATCCTCAAAAGAGTCTCAATCTTTCGCAGCAGAAAACTGACCCAAATATCGTCTGATATCGTTATTAGAATCAAAGATATTGCTTGGTTTGGAACA